ACAAGAAAAAGGATCTGGATCTAGAGCAAGAGCAGGAGCCGCTGTCCGAGGAGCAAAGCTTCAAGAAGCAGAAGGTGAGTAGTACTGGCCTTGGGAGCCCACAGTCATGGCGGAATAAAATCCCTGGCAGGGCAGTTAATGTAATTAGGCTGTCATGAGTTGGGTCTAGCTGGTTTTAATGGCATTAGAGCCCGGGTCGGTCTGTGCTTCTCTACCTGCGACTCGGATTCGTGGTAAACTATTTAGAGCAACAGGATTAGGCGGCCTGCTTTATGGGAAATGTTCCATTGTCTGAGTGATGGGGCAGAAAAATATTCAGTCACCTCCCTTATATAGTAGTGGTCCTTTTGGTAGGCCTTGATTAAATTTTAATACTTGTTGATGGAATTTATATTGGCAAAGTTGAGAAAGGTAGAAAAGTTGAGGGAAATGAGAAACATTTTTGAGAATAGTAATACGTGTTGATTAAATTTCTATGGCCAAGGCTTAGGAAGGTTGAAAGCGAGATATAGTTTGAAAGTGTAACAAAATAAGTGTTGAAAGGAGATATCATATTGTATAATGTATTTTATATAGACGGAAAGTTTTAAAAACAGTTCACTTGGTAAAAATAATATTTTTACAATCCGACACAGCTTTAAGAGTTGTATATCTTAAAACATTCAGGACAGAAGTAGTATTTCATTTGCTTAATATTTCATTTCTAGAATATAAATATTTTAGATTGAATAAGCTCAGTATGACTTCTTTCATTAGCTAGCTGTCCTTTGAGGTTTTGGAATTCCAAAAAATACTCAACTCCATGATTTATTTCCATTGAGGCAGGAGCTTAGCTTTATAAAAAGAGTCATTTCACCCAGAAAAAAGAGGGACTTCCTGCAAGGCATCAAACTATTCGGTTGAGTTCCGAAGTCAGTTTTTATCCCGACCTGCTCTGAGCTATATTATCCAGCTGCGGGCAGCTGGACCTTCTCTCTCTGTGGAGCTTTTGTGGATCTGACCCCCTGAAACAGCCCAACACACCCCCAACTTTTCCTGTCTTCGCCTCAACGTCCGTGTCCACAAATCAAATTAACTAAAATGCCATTTGGTTTTTGTCTTTTTCTACTTGCAGCATAATGTGCGCTTCCAAACGTAGTTAGTTAGCTTTAATCGAGTTTAAATTTTGATAAATTGCCAACAGCAAGTTATTTGTAGCGTTGTGCCCAAGATGGTTCTCTAGTTGAATAAAGCCCTGGCAGCGGCAGGGGAAAAATGCAGAAACCAAAAGACAATTAGTAGGCACCAAGTGGAAAGCCCTTCAACATTGTTTCGTCTCTTTTTTTTTTTTTTTGTATTTCCACCTCCCCCATGGTCCTTATCTTATATTTTTTTTTTGTATACCCGAACCCGAACCCGAACCCCCGGGTGGGTGTGTGCACTTTCCGCCCGTCTGTTTGGTTTTGCTAGAGACACGATGTCATTGAGGAGCTCGAGGAGCATTTGGTGCGCAAAAACAATCCCCGGCGGTCGAAGCGGGCCTTTGGGCCATTGGTCCCATCCTCGGAGCGTCCTTTGGTCCTTCCTGGCGGCAGGCGCTGGTACCGTCCCAAGGATGCCTACAACGATGAGTTCATTGCCGAGACCCTGAGCGCCCAGGCGGAGCTCATCACGGGCAGCACTCTCGGGTGGGTAGAGCCCTTTTCCCCTGGCATCCCAACTATCCCATCTATCCAACCCCCAGCTTTTTTCTCCCCCTGCTCATTGCGGCTAGTTGGCAATGTTTGGCCATGTTTGCCGTGGTCAGGCTGTCGCCATCACCATCTCATCTCATGTCATCGCTCTGCAAACACTCGCACCGGGAAAAACTACACCAAAATATATCCATCTACCATTATTATAGATTTTTCTCATCTCCAGTAAAAATATTAGAAAGCTTGCTATTTTCTGTGGTTATGCTAAAACATGACAGCACACTTTTGGGAAATAGTTGCAAGACTATTGTTTTTAATTTTGTAAAGATTTCCCAGACAGATGGAATAATAAAGAAAAAACTTGTAAAGGGAAAAATATACATTTTACAGAAATTGATTTTTTGTTGTCTAGAGAAAAGGAAATTTTATCAAAACGAAGAAAAGATATAATGATGATAAAATGGAATTTTATATGATTGAAAAAATGTTTAATTAAATTCCAAAGTCTTATTAAGTAAAAACTTTAAACACTTAAAAAAGGAATGGAAAATAACCATTACTAAAAACTGTATACACAGTGGGTTAAAAATAAACCCAAATGAAATGTTTGTAAAATAATTTGCACTCTGTATTTTCAATTTTTTTGATATATATTAAATCTGTATAAAGTGAATTTAAAATGTTAAACGTGGCTATATTTTTGGTGAATTTTTTCCCCAGTGCCCCTGCAGACACTGCACTAAAAACCATAACGTCAGCTCATCCCAGGCATTCATTTTCTTCACTTCTTCACTTTTCCATGGCCACTCGCCCCGACTCCTTACATCGTCGCATCGTGCACCATAAATTTGCGCATTAGCAGCTGTCCATACGAAAGTCCATTGCTGGGCTACGATTCCAGGTAGTGTTTCATTTCGGTTTCGCCTGATGAAGTGCCCCGGATGCTATGGACCAGAAACCATATATATAGCACCTAGGCACTCTCATTATGATTATCGTTGGCATTACGAGACCCGACCCATTGTGCATCATGCCATGCTTATCCCGATTCGCATTCACATTCGCATTTTCATCTGTGTGTCTCTGTATGTCCTGTGACAAGGCCTGCAGTTGATTTGACTTTCCTCCTGCGTTCCGGTTGAGTTCTTTATGCATGCCGCCTCTTGCTCTTGGATATCTTTTCTCCACCCGCTCTTTGCCTTTTGATTTTCATTGTAGATTGCATTTTGGAATCGTTTGTTCAATGGCGAGCATATAACACGCCAGCGTTTCAGGTAAGTTTTTATCCCAACCCCATCCAGAATCCATCCGGATCCCGAATCTCCCAGTTCTTGAGCTGGAATCCCCCACTTCCAGCCCCCCACTTCTCGACTCTTTAATGAGGCTAACAACTTTTCTTTGCTTTTGCTCTGTGTGTATTTGCCCGCCCTTGTCTTGTACTTAACCAATGGGGGAAAATACGGACTGCTCTCGACTCCTCGATTCGCCAGGGAGCTGCAGGGTCTCGGCCTGACCATGCAAAAGTAAGTTGTCACATTGGACGTTTTCTTATGTTCTCCGGTTCATTGCATGCATATGTACGCGCTTTGCTTTTCCATTTTCCGTGAGGAGCACTGCATTCCGCATCCCACAACCCACAACCCGCATCCCATTTTCCCAATTCCCATTGCCATTCCCCCAGTTGCTGGCACTTGCAATTCCAATTTAACAGCGGCGACTCCTCGGCCATTCGCAGGGTCAACTTCATGAAGTACCAGAAGCCGGAGCGCAAAATCGATCTGAATCGCAGCGAGGTGTACAAGTATCTCAATCCGCATCTGGACAGGGCGCCCGTGCGCGGCATCGAGGTGCGTGCTCCGCTGGTGGCCGCCGAGTCCGACATTCGCCAGTCACTGCAATCGTAGGAATGATTCAACAACGCCCCATCCTCAAGCCAATCCCATACACAGAGAAAAAAACAGCTATACCATTAAGATTTTATTTGGGAAAGGAGAAAGAGTACTAAGATTTGGCAGAGAAGCGATAGGGATTGACTAAAAACCTTTTGGTATCTCAGAAGGCAAAGATGTTTTAACAACAAGTGCTTAGAAAGAATATTGTTTAATTGTTTAAATATAAATTAATTTATTAATATTTAATTTTCTAATTTTAATCACATTTTTGGCAACATTTAAAAAAGATTTATAAAATCTAATAATAAATAATCCTTATAAATTATTAATCAAAGCAAGCATTGTAACCATTTAATATGCTACAAAATGTTCAGAACCAATATTATATTCACTTTTACTGAATCTAATATTTGTAAAACCTTTTAAAAATCAAGATAATATATATAACTGAATACTTTATGTGTACTTTGAGGTAGCCAATTTCAGTAATATTTGCTCAAATCAAGATGTTTTTTTTCCCCTGAATTAATAGCCAATCAATCATCTTTTAAGAAGGGCTATAAATAATAAATGAGATAAGTGCAAGGTGGACTTAAGCTGAGTACAACAATAGTTCTTCGTTTAATCTAAAACCCCTGCTAAACCAAATTTAAAACCATTTTTCAAGGATTTTAAAACGCTTCTCTGTTAACTCTTAGTATGCTAAATAAACCACACAAGCTAGAATAGAGAAATACATTTCTGTTAAAATATATAAAACCATATATTAAGAAAGCTTCAGTTCGTTTTGGAGGGCTACATGGCCAGGATGCTGTATTGAATGGATGCACATCAATGTGCTCATTGAACTCCCGAGATGGGAATCTATGGATTGATTCCCAAATTGGCTACCCCCAGTGCATTCGATTATCGCTTAAGAAGCTCACAACGAGTATAACCATCAATATGCTAACAGAAGCCCGGGTTCGGTTCGCTTGACTTTGTGGAGCGGGGTTGGGGGTTGGGGGTCGGGGTTCGGGGTTCGGGGTCGCCTAATGCGATATTACATAATTTGTGTGCAACAAGGCGTATGTGTAATGTGTCGTGCATTTCTGTGGCATATCCTCAGGCGCTGGCTGTTGCAATTTTCTTTAGCAGAAAACACAACGCGCGCTGCCTTTGAGTGTGTGCTTATGGATGTGTGTGTGTGCGCTCTGTGTGTGTTTTTGTCTGCTGTTTGTGGGTGACAAGCTCTTCGAATTTGCATTTATTATGCCAAATGAATTGGTTGGCAGCAAAAAAGTGGCAAATGACATGGCAAAAATGGCAACTGGCAAACTGGCAGCAGCAACAGAAGCACAATAGACCCGTATTTAGTTATGGCACAAACACTCGCGCTATACAGCCAAATCAAAATTGTTGTCACGTTATGATGGAAAACCGGAACGATGCGTACATTTCACTTGCCTCAGACACACACACACACTTTCACACACTGGATTTGGGAAATGATGAGACACTTTTCCTTTTTCAGCCAGAGCAATAAAAACGCGCCAACTTAATGCGGATATACTGAGAGCAAGACGCGTATTTTTTTGGCTAGAGCCAGAGCATCTAGAATTCCCGGAGTCGTAATCCCGAGGAGTGTTCTCCACATGGACTCTCGTCTTGGACTGTCACAAGCCACTGGCTCTTATCATTGCTGCACTGGCCACAGGCTGCGATTCGAGTCGAGTTGGGGATTTTGGTTTGGGACAGCTTTTGAGTGGCAAACTTGAAAAGCTTTTGAGTGTTTTTCCCAGAGGTTTTCCCTTTGAGCGTTGAGTGGGAAAATTCCCCCCATGAACAAACGTCCAGCTGCCTGGGGGGCATGGCCCTCTAGGTTGGGGCAGGCCAGAACCTTTCGGGGTCGCGAAAAGGTGAGAATGCCGGAATGTCGGAAATAAAATTAAGATTTGTTCAACTTGTTGGCTAAAAGTTTGACTCGGCTAATTTGTATGCTTAATTGCCAAGCGCCATTTACACTAAGCTACGGAAAAACGCTTTGAAGTCGCTAATTCGATTGGAATGGTTTAAAAGGGTTTAGTTTGCCATATAATTGGATAGCATTTGTAATTCGCCCAGCTTAAAATTATACGTTAATTGCCCTTAAAAAAGCTATTGAAAGCAAGGCTAAGAAAGTAAACTGAAACTAAATTTACCATTACCATTTTTAATAGCATCCGCTCTCTTAAACTACAACTTGACCTATATTTCTAATATGTTGAAGTTTAATTTTATAGAAATAAATAGGTAAATAGGTTTTGATGTTATAAAACTGCACATGCTTTGGGATCTGAAAAATAATTTTGAATAGCATGAAATATCTTTCAAGGGTTGATTTTTAAATATAAATACAATATAATAAATTCTTCAAAGCAACCCAATATTTAGGCAATATATTCTTGTATTTTTACTAGTGGATACGAAATTTACCAACGTCCTTAAAAGCTGTTCCTGATTTAAATTTTGACAACGATTTAACAGATGATTACAACAGCCCAACCCTTAAAGATGCCCGCTTTATACAAAAATTGACTTTTTCACATGCTCTGTTGGAAAAATCTTACCCCCATGTAAATACCAGTCAGCATACAAAACAAACATTTCGATTTTTAAATTTTATTTGAATTGGAATAAACAATACTAGACAACAACTACTTAGAAGTAAGTACAAGTTCATACATACAAGTTACATAAAAATAGTTTGGGTTAGGCTCTCAGCTCCGAACGAATAATCTTTGAAACGTACTAAATAGTATATGCGGGTGTATATATATAACATAGTCATGTATAAGTACAATGTGTGTTTTTGTGGACTTATTTGTGTGTTGTTTCGTGTGTTTCAATAATCTGACTACAAATACAAAGAAGGCAAACTTACAGCGGCCACTTCAAGCACGGAGAATTCACTTTAAAAGACACCTCCGGCTGAAGTTCTTACAACGATTTTGTTATAAACAATTGTTCGTTTGTTCGATCTAAGAGGGGGGGTTTTTTTTTAGTTTTGTGTGTGTTTGACACTAATTATCACTACGCCAGTTGAAGGTAAATAGTTAATTATGGGTTTCTCTTAGTTTTCCACGCGGGGATTGCTTCGATTTGATAGGTCTAAGCCAAGTTTATAATAATTTTTTTTGTGTATATGCAAATGCAATTATTGCTAATAATACATGCGAATTTCCAACTGAATAAATAATTTGTTCCTTTCGTTGGTTTTCTTTGTGTGTGTGTGTGTGTGATGCAAATTTGTGACTGTCCTTTCCGTTGGAAGGATATTTGTCTAGTCCTGACAAGTCAGAGGTAACAACGATATCAAATTTGCTAAACCATCAACTGTTTTTGTTGGCCTCAAAAATATGCTTTTGTTCTCTGCCCTGCTCCCCAATAATCCTGGCTAATAATCTAATTTGTCTCTTGATTTCAGTTGCAATTTAGGTACACGATTCCGCCTTCTTCTGCAGCTTTTGCAGCAACCGCTTTCAATCACAAAGTGCAGACCCCGCATATGTGTATGTATATATAATACAAATATGCATTTCGGGTAGTTCAGGTGTGTGTTTTTGTGTGGCTAGTCTCTAAATACTAATTGCAGGTAGTTCGTTAACGCTTTCACACCAGAATTTCGCAACAAATATATCGTATTTGTATTTGTATTGTTTTAGTTTTGTTTTTCTTTGCCTTTTGCTATTGTGATATTGTTTTTGGGGCCAGCGTAAAACGTGGCTTGGCTTTAATACTTTCAATCTAACACTAATTAAGTTCCAAACAAACCAATCCTAGGCTGGTATGTTCGTTTGTTCATAGAAATCGGGCTCATCGTCGTCGTTCTTCTTCATCTCGCTGCCATCCAGCTGGAATGAGATGAAATTCATTAATATAATTGATTTACATATATATATATATATATAATATAAATTACCGCTTGCATTTCCTCGGGCTTATAGAGCGCCGTCAAGTTCTGCCGTATGGGCACCATCATGATCAGGAAGAAGGGGAAGGCCAGCGAGAACTGTGATGACTTTACGGTCCACAGAAGTACGAGGCACAGCACCTGGATGGTGGTAAATAGATGCAGTTTCCAAGGTCGCACACGCTTCACATAGGGCGTGGGAGGATAATGCTTCACCGGCATGAAATACAGTCTTATTCTGTAATAAAAATGGAATTTAGAAGTATATTTTAAGATTATTAAAACTACAATGTACAAAAAAAGATAGTATAGATTCTTTTTTTCATCAAAATGATCTTCATATCTTATAGATATATTCTCTTTTTAAACACTTACCGCTCGAACAACTGCACTCCACTCATGGAGGCCACTCCCATGTACAGGAAGACTCCGAAGAGCACTGCCATGGGAATCAATCGCAGGAGCGGAGACATTAGTACTGATAGACCAATCATCAGGCACACAAAGAATCCTGACAGGCGCTGCTCCTTCACATCAACGATCCTGGGCGACTCACCAGGGGCATGGGTTCTATTAAAAAATATTTATAAAATTTATTAATTCACTTATTTAAGATATAAACTATATTTTGAACCCACCGTGACATAATGGTGACAGAGGACACATGGGTCACCGATCTCACAGTGGCGGCACAATGCCAGGGCATGCCAAACAGACCACAGGCACAGTTCAAAAGACACAGCAGCACAATGTCCCAGTGCAGGCCGGAACCCTTCTTCAGACCACGATCTGGCTTGTCCACAATCAGCTCAGAGATCTGTGACTCCATGAAGATCAGGATGTAGACGAGCAGGGCGGGCACCACACAGGCGAACGGAATCCAGGTGGAGGAGGTATCAAAACCAATGTACCATCCACGTTTGGAGGGATCGCTGGGCGACAGACCTTCGGGAACAACCAACTTTTCTGTATAAACAGCCGGAACCAGATAGTCCACCAGCACAAAGATGGCAATGGAGATGGGTACACCAAAATCTCCTAGGGCACGACGAGCATTGCGACCCAAAAAGTGGGAGTTACGGAAGAGCTTCAGGTAGTAGGCAACCACAAAGGTGGCCAGTGTGAGGATGGTGCAGAATAGAGCTGTGTTAGGTTGGTTCTTGGGCAATGGTGGCAGACCCGTCGGCATGGCCGTTGTCGAGATGTTTAGGAATCCTTGGGTAATATTTGCAGCTACACCTGCGGTCGTATTCAAAATACTTTCATTGGTGGCATGGTCATGGGCAACCAGCGTCGGTGGCGGGAGATTGTAGTCAGCCAGCAGAGGATTTTCCTTGTAGATCGAAATGAGTTTCATAAACGTCTCCACAATATAGATGAGCGTGATCAGGGCTGAGAAGATCTCCTGGGTGAATCTCGTGAGCAGGCGCACATACACACTGCCCTCAAAAGCGGATACCGTCAGGGATATTATAATCAACCATACCCCGACGTAAACTCTTAAGGACAAGAAATCAAAATCATGCTTTGTACAAAACACCATGAGAGCTTCGTCAAAGAGAAGGAGTGGTCCAGTGGTTCCGATGATCACCAGTGGTTGGCAGGACAGACAGTGGAAGACAATGCCCACCAGGGAGCACGAGATCAGTGTCTCCGAGATGCCAATCCAGCTGTCTGTTTTGGCGGAAACGAGACCTCCAAAGGTGATGGCCGTGGAAAGGCAGGCAAAGTACATAAAGATGGTGGCTGCCAGTGTTTCCGTGTTCAGGCCATCCAGGATATCGCTCTTATACATTGGCATCCGGCGCTTTAGATCGTTCCTCAGTCCACCCCACAGGCGACCGGTCTTCTCCAGCGGACTGGGCTTCTTCTTCTTTCGTCCATCCTCATCGTCGGAACCGCCATCGCCGCCTCCATCGCCTCCACCAATTGTAAATCCAATGGCTCCCAGCGTTTGCTTCTCCAGCAAGGCCTTCTCCTCATCCTTGCCGATTTTGATCATCTCACTGTCTCGCTTCACCTGCAGCGCCTTGATCTTCCGCGTCCGGATCCAATCCTTTTTGGCCTTCAACTCCTCGAAGGGCAAAAGGTCATGACGATCCCAATTACCGGGTGGCAGGACAATAGAATCATCCAGGAACTCATTGATGGCCGACAGCAGATCCTTGCGATCGTCAGCCTTGTAGGCAATGGAGTGGAAGTGCTCGTTGGCCATCAGGGTGGAAATGGAACGACCCACTTCATGGTAGTCCAAGTCAAAGTTACGCGGTCCCAATAGGACAAACATAAATCTCACTGGGACAGGAACCTCTGTCAAGGTGGGCATAAGGACACCCTCCGACAGACGGACAAAGGCAATGGTGGGCTGCTCCAGAAACTCCACGGCACCAACCTTTTGGTTAAAAAGGGGTTATCATTAATATCGAAGGGATCATAGTTATAAAGAAATCAACCTACCAGCACAGTGGTGGCCTCGGCACCCGCTGGAATCCTCTTGAGGATCGTGTCATTCTGCAGCTTCTTGAGATCCTCCTGCGACGAGGAATACATGTCGTCCTTCATGTCGATCTTCAGCTCATTGCTGCGCTTGCTGCCTCCAATTTCATTGGCCGGCATGATCTTGATCTTCTTGTCATCCGTGCCGCCAGACAAGTTCTGTGGAACATTTCATCACAAATTAAAATAATTGGAACTCAAGCTTAGTTTATCTACTGGGGAAC